CATTTTGATCAAGGGAACGAAATTTTTCAAGCGCCCGGGTTGGGGACATAAGGTGCCCAGCTTTGTATATAAACTGAATTCACTTTGATTGTGGCGCGCTGCAGGGTAATCATTTGAAAGGGGTAGGGAGAAGAAGCAGAGATTGAGGGTACCGAAGGCTGTAAAGAAAAATCTGGGAAAAGGGTCCCCTTAAATTTTTTTTTATAAATTAAAAATGCATAGATGCATTATGGCGCATACTTGAATCTGGTGTTTGTGAGGAATCATTTCAGACTATCAGGTGAGAAGCGCTACGTTAAAAACGATCAAGCACATCTCTTACTCCACCCAGCCCAACATGAACTAAAGTCTTTCCAGTTGTGGCACCCTTGAGGGTATGCTGTTTGTCCTAACTTGTCGGTTTTTATAGTCCAAAAATATTTTTAAAATAAATTCAAAATGTTAGAATACATTTTAACATATCATGCATACGTGTATTATTATTTTACACGTAATCGTAGAGCTACGAGAGAGCTGCTAGTTAAAAATGTAGGTACCACTTGACCTGGGAGCAGTTGTGAGGGCCCAGCAAACCGTTACGGGTTCTAGAGGCCCCGGATAGTTTAGAGGCTTAATTTTTTGATGTGCATACTTTTTAATATAACAATTATGAATTTCAAGATTGGGGGTGGGGTGGGGGGATGTAACAGAGTGCCTCGAAAGGTCAAGGGACGGGTCTGTTTGACCCGGATGTGTTTTACAAATTATAATTTTATATGACTTATAGTGATGTCTCTTTTAAAAAAATCTAAATCATTTTTGGTTAAACTACTCAATTAATAATTGAATTTAATATTAACAAAATGTATACCTCTTCCAAACATGGTTTCCATCACAACAAAGCACTGCTAACAACAAACCAATTTTAAAAAAAACCACCAACGAATAATAATGACCTTCTCTGAATATTTCAAAGCTTTTTCAGAATAAAAAAAAGCTAGTCATACTGTTACAAATTGTATTTGCACGACATAATTATGTAAAGAGGACATGTGATGCTTACAAAAGACATAATCTTATTGATTGATGTTTAAATAACCCGTATGAAAGAAAGTATACATTTCACTGAAATTTTTATTTTTGAATTTCAAATTACTCTAACATAACTTTATGGGATAAATGAAGAATTGTTTCTTCGATTTACTTTTAAAACATTTTTAACAAATCAGATCAAAAGAATTTATTTGAAGGGAGAACATTGTCTAAAATTAATAACAAATAATCAAGAAAAAAAATTGAGATGTTTGTTCAGAAAAACTTTATTAAAATTAAAAAATTCCCTTTTTTAAATTAAAGGGTGCACATATGTGGGGCATACTGTTGATTATTCTGATATCAAAAAAAGAAAAGCGGTTTTGAATTTCATAATAAGTAAGTATTAAAAAAAACCACTCTGTTTTTCAGGAAACTGACAAAAGAAGCATATTTTAAGGAAAAAACAAACTCTTTAAGATTTAATAATTAGTATTCATTTTTTCTAGTTCAACATGCATGGAATCGAGTACATTTAAAATTATGTTAATAATATCGATATTTTTTAAAATCATGTTGCCTCTATACACTTTATAATAAATACCTATCCCTACTTTAATAGTCATGCTTTTATAATGAAATATAATTTGAAAACAGATTGGACATGTTTAATACTTAGCAAGAACTGTGTTAAAATTATAAAGTTATTAAAGTTTCTTTAACTTGTTAAGTTGCAAACAATTAAATTGATGAATAAAAAATACCGACTTATGCTAAGAACTACGGGAAGGCTTCGGCTTATAATTGTGAATGACCTATTTTTGGAAGACTAGGATATTATAATCCAATGGTAAGCATCTAACAAGATTAGCCAATGGTAAGCATCTAACAAGATTAGCCAATGGTAAGCATCTAACAAAATTAGCCAATGGTAAGCATCTAACAAGATTAGCCTTAAATACAAAAGATCATCTAATATATCAATGCGTATTGATAATGATAGGTCCCACTAATTACCGCTCCATCCTAAGGCACGAGCACACAGTTAACTTGCCCAGAGCGTCACGGTTTGAAGGGAATTAAATTGTCACTATTGAAAGAAAGATCTTGAAGTAGTTTACTTTGCTCAATACAACCAGGTCAAGAGACGCCTCAGTTTCCATGAACAATTCTTTTGTTGCGATCAATATTAGAATTGTGCACAACTAACTTCGGGTATGCGCCCAAATGTACTCATGCGTGTTGGAGTTTAGCAAAATAATTCTGAGAAAATGCTTCATTTCCAAAAACCGACCATCTTTTGTTTCAGTTTACGATCTGTTAGATCATGCGGACATAATTATCTCCTAATTTTTTTTTAAAAAAGTACCACTGGACGATAATTATTAAAATGATTTTCTTGAACTTACGTAAATGTGATTTGCATATAGTTTGGTATTTGTATATTTTAATTGTTGAACTGTATAGATTCCAATGGTGAAACTAGGCTGAGGTCAAAAGCAAACACTTAGGGGGTGCCACAACCAATGTTCCCTCTAAGGTTTTTTTTTTTTGTTCGTGTGCAAAATCATACAGTTGTGTGCAAAATTTTACAGCATCAATTTTTGTGTGTGCAAAATTTTACAGCCTACAAACACAAACACACACTTACATGGAAATTTGCTGTGCGGATACTCAAAACTACTGCGCGGCGTCTGTGAGATAGCTGTGAGGCCGCGCAGCCGAGCAGCTTAAAGGGAACATTGGCCACAACCGGAATGAATTAAAATTAATGTGTATGTATGAGACATTGTTAAGAAGAAACTTTAAGTAATAAAATATGGTCCAAGCTTTCCCCAAATGCTTTTTAAAATTTAAAACATAATATTACTAGCTTAGAAAGGTATTGGGAGGGGGGGGGGCTCAGTGCACCACTTTGCCAAGCAATTTGCATCAATCCCCCCCCCCCCCCCCCCCCCCCCCCCCC